CACGACAACAAGAAAGAAAAGGGGGGGGGAGCGGGGGGGGGGGGAAGCAGTATGAGCATTTTTGCATAGACACTCCCTGTGTTCCTGGGCTGTGGGTGTTCAATGAAAGCGAGCAGTAAAACCCCCAAACAATAAACTCATTCATATGGTATCTCCATCCCTGGCCGGGCACGGCGCACACAGAGCCTGCTGCGGGGAGCGGCAAAGGTGCACGGATGAACAGGAGCAAGCCCTGCCTGACATCCTAGTCAAGGCTGCAAGAGAAAAGTGAGGGCTCCTGCCTTGCCAGGAGCACCCCAAAAACAGGTGCCCAAAGCTCAGAGCTTGTGAATGCTGGCAGCTTCAGCAGCAGGCTCCTGGCAATGGTGGTGCTGACACAGATGGGGCACGGAACCCAGAGTGGCAGGACCACAGGGGTATTGCCTCCACTGCAGGGATCCCTGCCCCTTCCACTCAGGAGAAGGAACGAGCCCCAGTGACTGATCTGGGGGTAACAAAAGGAGCACTCCCAGCCCTGGCAACTATACACCCCCCAAACCCACCCCCACCGCCAAGCCCCATCAAATGGGACCGAAGCCAGTGTCCCCACAGCCTCATCTGCCTGGCCTGGCGAGCACCAGAGAGGCTCACGTGCACCCAATACAACCCAGAGCATCCTCAGGTGCCCTGTTTACATAAGAAATACAGCTGTGCTAGAAGAGACAGAAATATTACACTGGCACGGGTGACAGTGTGTGGGATGGCCTGGTAGGGTGGATACAGTAGATGTATAATTGAGAAAGGAGATGAAACCTTTTTCTGTGACTGAAACCACAGCCTAAATCTCTACGGAGTAAAGAACTCTGCACTCCCGCTGCCTATTCCCCAACAGAGTTCCTTCCCATCTCCAAAACTCACCACTCTCACATAAGTCAGAGTTATTGTATATGCTATGAAGTTATGCAGGGCATTAATTTTCATCTGCATTTCAAAGAATGCTCAGCCCAGCAGCTGAAAATCATATTGGATTTGGTACAGAGCAATACATCGCCCTGTTTTCTCCAGTTGCCAATTACACCAAGACAATTAGCTAAACACAACAGCTGTGTTGATGCTCAGCTGAGGAGAAACCACATATGTTTGTATAGAGCCTAGATCATGTTAATATGAATCAATCCATTTCCGACTGACTAACAAAAGTTTATAAAAGGGCCTCAGATTCTTACCAGGGCTCATGTTTTTCTTTCATTCATATCTCCACTCTGCGGCTTAATCCCAAGCATATCTCCTTGTATTTGTAAGAACTTGTTAAAAAGAACACGTGCCCAAATCCCAAACAGAGCCACACCCTTTTCCCCTCCCAGTTAAAACACGTTAATTAGCAAGCAAGCACCTTGTCTTTCTATCAAGTCACCATTTTAAATATTATCAACACTAGACTGTGAGCTTCTGTTAAGAAGACACACTCTCCTCCATAGAGAAAGGAGCACCACAAACACTAGTGATGCCTCGCAGAGCCCTGGGAGACCCTCAGATAAGAAACACAAAGCTTGTGTCTTTGCTCAACAGAGACAGTAAAACAAGAATGCCAAACACCTTTCTTTGAAGACCTGGGTTGCAAGTCACAATTTCCATTACAGAACTCTAACACATTAGAAATACAATCATAACCTTACAAACCTCACACCACTTGACATCTTAAACTACACACATGGGAATCACCTGTGAACGTGGAGACAAGGAGCTGGTCTGAGAGGACTTTACAGGGATGGATGGGTGAGTAAGGGTGCATCAGGAACAGTGCATTCAGCATCTCTTCCCCCTCTCAAGGGTCTGGAGATGGTTGGTCATGGACCAGCCAGCCACATCTGATACACAGGGCAAGGAGCCCCTTGTTGGGTCTGTTGCTCTTTCTGCCTCACACATACTCCCTTAATCACAGGGAGAAAATGGATTTTTAGACAGCACCTTCACCAACAGGAGAAGACACTCTTTACTGTGGCCTGGCAGAAAAAAAAACACCCTGACACGTCAAGATCATCCTTCAGAGTTTCAATTGCCTGACAAGAGTCAAGAGACTACATCTTCCTATGCAGCTGGCCTTGCGTCCCCCTTTCCAGAGGCTGGGAAAGGAAACCCATTCCCAGGAGAGTTTCACAATCCCTCCTTCACTTCCCACCGTGCGAGTCCAACAACCCAACCTCTTCCCACACCAAGGGTGCCACCCTGTCAGCCACCAGCCCTGGACTCCCTGGCTCACACCTCACCTGGCCCTGCACGCTCCACCTGACCAGATTCCTGCAGCAGCTTCACCCTGCCTTTGGAAGAGGAGGGACACCTCTCGTGCCTGCCCGGTTAGAGCTCAGTTTAAAGCACATCCCTGCTTGTGTTTAAAGGAAAGAAATGCTGCTGTTTCCTGATGTTTGCAACCTTCATTTCTTAAGTAACAGGAAAGATCTTGTAGCCATGTCCCTGCTCCCACAACACCAGTTCATTGCTCAACAGTCCTCTTTGAGTCCATCCATCTCTATCACTACAGGATTTCCCTGCACAAGTGCTCTGCCTGGCTAGTGGCAAGGATGAAAACTCCCCAAACCAGCCATGGCAGCAATAAGATATCCCCACCAGAACAGGCAGATATTCCCCATACTTATTAATAAACAGCTTACTTGCCTGCCTTCTCCACCTGCTCCTCAGGGCTCCCAACTCCCACACCTTCTCCCCCAGCCCAGCCCTTCTCCTCCACCTGCCTCATCAGCCCCAGGTGATTCCAGCCACCCCATCACGCTGGGGACACCTCCCATCCACTAAATGAACCATTGCCATCACCTGTGGCTGCCCCACAGAGCTGGAGATGCCTCCGTACCCTCATTAATGCACACTCGTTACCAGTGGCACAAAAAGGACTGGCAAGGCTCCGCAATCAGTTGTGCTCGCTATTCATTACACATGTGCAGAACACAGCCCCGCTGCTCTGAGGGAGTAGTGTGCATATTTAAAAAGACAATATACAAAACATAGCTGAATCTTAATGAATCTTTGCTACTGGAACTGAATGGAATTGTACAGACCTTGCCAGAAAAAAAAACAACAACCAACAACCAAACAAAAAAGACAACTACACAATATTTGACTTGTAATATAATCTTTAACATCACTTCTGCAGTATGTTACTATTGTGCTTATCAGGCCTGTAAAGTATCGATTGTAAGGAGGAAAAGGATCAAAATGCAACAGGCAGCACCGTGCCAGCCCTGTCAGAATACTAAGGTACTTGCATAGTCCAAAAAACACAGTCCTGACAAAAATTAACTTCCCGTAATATAATACCTCAACATATAAAGCCCCCACCAAAGAAGGATTAGGGGACAAGGGCTATGAGCTTGACTGCATCTGCTGAGACCTAACCAAACCTTGCCAGTTTGACAATAATGAGCCCAAATGGGGTCAGGCAGGAATATATTTGCCTAATATCAAGCTCCCTGCTTAAATGTTTAAGCTCCGTAAGCAGGACAGGAGTTACAAGGACAGCTGTTTCCTCCCAACTGGTAAAATTTACTGCAGACTTACTCTGTGCTACACAAGTGCTGGGTCCACCTCCTCCAGGAGAGGCTTTTGACACACCAGCAGGTCCAGAAATGGCAGAGTACCCCCACATGCCCGACTGTCCCATGCCTGGGCACCTCACCCCCACCTCCCCTCTCCTCAGCGGGCAAGGAGCCCTCAAGTTTGAGAGGTCTCCAAGAGCTGCCCACAGCACTGCAGACCCCAGAGGAGCCCTTCTGGGTGATAATGACCAAGAAGCATCGCACAGGAAGCGCCAGAGCCATTGATTGCGGGGAAATTAATGGGTCCTGGGTGAGCACCAACCCGGACGGGATCTGCCGGGGAAAAAGCAGGGAGGCAGCTCGCCCCCCCCCTCTCCACAGCCACCAAACCTATTTGCATTTAGAAAACAGGACACTCAAAGTCCTGCCTGTTAAGCCCGGGAGGGTGGGAAGTCCACGCAGATGGGCAATTTTGGACGAAAAGACGGAGCGGGCAACGTCAGCCAAAGTCAGTGGCTTGCAGAAAATGAAACGCTGTTCTTAAGTAACAAAAAAATCCCCAGATGGTGTAAAATGGGTCCGTCCCAGCTCCTCCCTCGCTGCCCAGCGCCCGGGGCAGGTACAGGGGGATTTCACATCCCCGCACCTTCCCCGCCGGCCCCCAGCTCACCACAGCCCCACTCGCGGGGACCCCGACGGCCAGCCCCACTCATGGAGTGCCGTCCCCCCCAAAAAAAACCCAGGAGCCGGTCCCCCTCCCCACTTGCTGGCCACCTCCTCCTTTCCTGAGCCGGACAATCCCCCCCCTCCAGCTGAGCTCGGGCCCCACTCGCGGGGACCCCCTTCTCCAGGCGTTGACCCCCCAGCCCCACTCTCGGGAAACACCGCCTCCGCATCTCCCCACGCGTGGGGACAGCAACGTGTCAGCGGCTCTGCCACCCCCCCACACACCCTTTCCTCCCAACGCCGCTCCCCCTCCGTGTGTGTGGCCGTGTCCCCCCCAGCGGACAGGGCAGCGTGGGACACGGACACGCGTGGAGACCCTCCTCACCTTTGTATTTCTCCATGGGGGCTGCAGCGGGAGCCCGCCGGGAGTCTCCGGGACACGGCGCTACCTCCGCTCCGCTCCGCGCTCCTCTAGCCTCTTATTCCGGCGGCGGCGGATCCCCCGGCCCGGCCGGGCCGCCCCGCCCCGCCCGCCCCGCCCCGGAGCCGCGGAGCTGGCCGGGATCGGGGCTCCGGGATGGGGAACGGCGGGGGGGACCTGGCTCCGGGATCGGGGATCGGGCACCGGCACCGCGCTTTCTCCCTCCCGCACGGCACCGATCCTCCGCCGGTCCCCTGGGGAAAGAGGGGGGTGAGGGCCGGTGACAGGAGGAGGAGGAGGAAGAGGAGGGTGCCAGGAGCACTGGGTTGAGGCCGTGGGGTGGCTCCTGGGACCCCTTGCCGCTCCCCAGCGCTGTGCCCGGGGCCGAGGTGCCCCCTCTGCTCCCGGTGTTGAGGACGGCGTTTGGCTGCAGAGGGGCTTTGGGCACCTTCAGAGAAAGGCCGCGGTCACCCTGTGGTCCCGGTGGCTCCTGGGCTGAGACCACAGGTCAGAGTCTGCCCGCGACCCCACCTCCTGCCCTGCTCTGGGCTGGCAGGTTGAAAAGTTGGGTTCTCCTTCCACCTTCCTAGGGCAGCTGCTGGGGGTAACCCCGGGGCAGGCAGTTTGCCCTCTCCAGGACCTTTGTTTGTCCTCCTCTTCATTAAGGCTTCCTGGTAGGAGCTGCCTCCTGGATAGAGAGGCTCTCACAGGAAGATGTCCCTGTCCTTGGGTTCCTGTAACGCTGTTCTTGGCTGACTTCCACCACCACAGACGGAACCAGCGTCCCCAAAGTGCTCAAATAATAACAAATGGGGAAGTGGACATCCAGTCTGACCTCAATATAAACCACAGGTGACAACCTGTCCCAAGGTCAATGTTTTAGAGGCACTGCAGGAAATCAATACTTACATCAATAGTGAAAACACTGAAAGTTACAATAGACAAAGTACACAAGAATTATAGAGGAAGTTTTTTCTCGAGAATGAAGGTTAAGCCATCAGTGTGGGGGGAAGGAAGCCATACCTGCCTATTACAAGGCCTTTCTGGCATGAGGAGAGGCTTGTGTCTGACCTGGACGGGCAGCTCCCCTGTCCCTGTGGAAAGAGAGAAAACTGTTACCTAGAAAATCAACGGCTCTCCTTGGGAGGTGAAAAATAATGAACCAGAAGTCAGCTCTGCATCGTGCACCTGAGCCGTATCCACTGGCTGTCGGTGTGAGGATCTAGTCCTCCTTCCACTGAAGGGCGAGGGTCACACCAGGGTCTCACAAGGTCACGCTGTTCTGAGGTTAATCCTCATCCCACTGACTTGACCCTCTGGGGACGCACAGGCTTTGGGGTCTGGGCAAAAGGGAGCTTGGGCCTGGTTTTGGGGTTGAAGCGTGGACAGGAAGATGGCGGTGTGGCCTGCAATGGAAACTTTCTTTCAGAGAGCTTTGGGGCAGATAGGGGGATCCCCCAAACCACTTGCCCCCTCCCACATGGACTCTGCTGTGCAAGCTGAGCTCTGGGCCATCAGCCAGCACCCAGAGAGCCTGGAGTGCCCACCAAAGGTAATTTCCACACGTGAGGTGGCAGAGGGAGCATCACTGTTTCTGTGCGGCAGCTGGGTCGTGGTGCCAGCAAGGAGAGGGCAGTTAGACAAAGCCAACAGGAGGCTCACAGAATCCCAATTATTTCCCAATTTTTGGGCCAGTCACCCCACAGACCCTTGACATCTGTGGTCCAGGGCAGCCTTGGGAAATGTTAGTGCTGTGTACGTAGAGAAAAACCCCCAAGCCTCCATCACATGTGCCTCTTTACGTTTTCCAAAAATAGGCCTCAGCAGGCTCTTTTGGGTCACAAAGGAAGCGAGAGCTGGGCTGGAAGGGCACTGTCCTGCTACTCATGGGGTCCCCATGTGCCCCTCCTTCCCCCCACCCCCCAGGCTGGGCTTGATGGAGGTGACACCTCTCAGAGGATCTGTGTGCCTGGTGGAACCAGAAAGTGACTTTTGCCACACGGCAACTTTCTGTTGAGAGCAAGTGTAGATAAAGGACACTGCCACTCAGGGAAGGTGAAGCTGGAGCACGTCTCATCTCACATCAGTAGGTAACTACCACACAAAAAGACAGGCAAGGCAAATGCCTGAGCCGTCAGATCCAGCAAGCAGATGGCAGCCTTCAATGGCTGGAGAAAAAACAGGTTAAATAAATATATCTGTCATGTCGGAATACTTCCCTTAGCACTCTTCCCAGCCACTTCTTGGCTCTAGCTTTCTAGCAGGGTAGGCCCTGATCTTGCAAGCTTTTGAAGCGTGCCTGAATCTTAAAGCAGGTGAGTAGTCATTCTGAACTCAGCAAGACTAATTAAGGATAATACCAGTTAAACAAACTAATTAAAGATGATTTGAAAGATGAATACGTCAGATACCTGTGATTCCTGTCTTCAAGCCCCAGAGCCTTTACATCCCCTGCTTGTCCCTTCCTTCCTCTTCTGGCCATGATAATGATGCTCTGGAATCCCAGGACTGCTGGCCAGCCCCATGGCAATTGCTGGGCAAGTGGCAATGGGACAAATACTAATGCCAGAGGAATACAAGTTCTTCCTGTTTGTCCCCTTCCTCTTGCAGTAGGAAGTACCTGAAATACGTTGGGAAACACTTTTTTAAACAGGCTGTAGTGGATTTGGTTTAATAAAACTGGGAAATACTCAGACCCTGCTTAGTGCAAGGATTAATGTTCCCGGTGTTGGTAATGAATTTAGATGTTTGCCACTACGCTCAGCTAGAGCAAATACTTGCAGACTGGTTTTTCTGGTGGAGCTTCTTGAAGCCAATAAAATAACAGCCATCTAGCTGTGTATCCATGTATCCCTTGCTTTTTCCCTGCTTATTATTATTGATGATTATGATTAGTGTTGACTCAGGTGCGACAAGCCTTGAAGGCCAAGCTCATCCTGTTCAAGATTTTTTTTTTTATGTGGCTGACATTCTATCCTTCAGTGCAGAGAATCATACTAAGGTTATATGTTTTAATGCTTTTTTTTTTTTTTCCCAGCATATTCATGATGTATTAATAGACAATCTGAGCACTAGTGAGATTATCAATCACCTTGGGCTAAAGTTCTGAAGTACCGTGCTGTGGCTTTCAACCAATGTGATCCTGCTTCTCTGGCCTTACATCCTGACATTTTATCCCTTTTGCTTCCTGTGAAAAAGAGAAGGAATCAAGCATAAATTTAAAAGTCTAAACAAACTCTATAAACAATTGTAATGATTTGCTAAATAACCTTGTGCAGAAGCATGATCATGCTCCTCTCTTTCATCTGCTGGCAATGCTAAATGCCTTTCTTTTTTTCCCCAAATATTGACACTAAGCAGGTGCACATTGCTTCATTAATATCATTGCTGTTACACTTCCCTTTTGGCATCAACAAAGTCTGAATTGTCTAATATTTGTCTAAATCTTTGCTATGACTTTCTTCTCTTTCGTTGCACGTGACTTGCACTTTCCCTAGTTTAAGCCTGAGTCAAAGTTTGGTAGAAGTTATTGACCTCTCCATTGTGAAAGCTGGAGGGAATCCTGCCCTGAGAGCTTGTGTGCAGGTGCCACCAACTTCAGGGAAGTTCTGCTTGATGGAGCCTGTCAGGAAGAACCACACCTGACCTGGACCGTGCAGAGCTGATCCCCCAGATCCCTGGGGCATCTTCACTTAAATGTTGTTTATCCCGACTGCAACAGTCCGTGGTCGCCAGGCTTCTGCCTTTCTTCAGGGAAAATATTCCAGCTGGCAGAAAAAAAGGCAGAAGTTTCCACCACACACGTAGGGTATCTGTTGTTCCACAGGGCTTTTCTTTCTCTCTTCCCCATATACTTAATAAGGCAGTGAAAACCTAGCTCAGGAGTCTAGACCAAACTCAGTCAGAAGTAAAATTACCTTGGTCTTGTTAAGCTCCTGACAGGTGGGAAGCCATGTCAAATACTCCAAGTGTGCGGACACCTGGACGACAGACGGAGAAAGAAGATGGCTTGGCAGACTAGGGTTAGCAGTGAGATGTGCTCAGATCAATGGTGGTGTGCCGGGGTCCTCTTCCAAATATCATCTCAGGTACTTGTTTAGATAAGTGTGTAACACGTCTGTGGACTCTTGTGATCAAGCAGGCATAAAACTATTTCAGAGCAGTTGACATGAGAGATCTGAGCCGAGGTGGGTTTTGTGACAGATCTGGACTGAGGTATGTCCTGTGAAACACCAAGAAATGGGGATTCCCATCCACAATGCTGGGCTGTCATGCTGCCGTAATCTGAGCGGGGGAATGACTTTTGAACATATGTGGATCCTAAACAGCAATGGAGGAACAGCTGAGCCAGCAAAACAACAGTGCTGCCTCTGAAAGGGAGAAGACTTTTTCTCTCTCCTCCCCCTGCTTCTGGCCAAATGGCCTCTCTCTTCCTAGAATCATTTTCACGGTTATTGGACCAACTTCTGTGCTGAAATGGTGAAAAACTAAAATGGCAGATTATTCTCCTAGCTGAGAAAGCCAAGTTGGGTGTCAGTAGAGTCAGGGAAGACTGAGGCAATACCAGGTAAACGGCAAGCACCTGCAGCTGGAAGGAATGAGGAACATGTCCACACAAGCAGGTGGGACTACACAGCTGGGACTAGATTAGAGGCATCATCAGTCACAAGCTCCCTGTCTTCTTGAAAGTCCTCCCTCATCTTCCTCTAGCCAGGAGCACAGAGCAGATGCTGGCAAGCGTTCAGTATGTTTATGGAGCCCCCACCAATATCTTTTACCCCTGGTGTGCTGAATACTGCCTGTCTTCCAGAATTCCTGATTTGGGGGGTGAAGGGGACAGCTGGTGTTGGAAAATTGAACTGAGGTCTCTGTTAATTCCCCAGGGAGGTGTAAATGGCTGGACACTGCTAACTGTCCCAATCCACATGGTCAGACTCCACATCCCATGCTAAAACCCTGAGCCACCCAGGCCCTGGGAACACAGTTTGGTGAGAGGAGCTGTGAAAAATGACATTGCCATGTGGCTTACTGCAGAAATGTGTTAAGGAACCCAGGATACCAACTCAGGAACATGAGCAGCAGTG